TGTATTTTTTCTTTAGCTTGCTGTTGTATTTCTTTAATCTCTCGTTTTCTATCTATTTCTTCATTTTCTTTTGTTATTCTAACCATTGCGGTTAAACTATCTTCTAGTTTTACAGTTTCCTTTTCTAACATTAAGTTCAGGTTATTTCCTATTTTCTTGTATCTTCTTCCTAAGTTGGAAAATATTATTGTTATTTTTAATCCTTCTGGATTCTCATATGTTTTCTGTTCTAGTGCGAATTCTTCCTTATTCATCTCTTTTTTAGATAACAAATATATCTATATTCTGTTTTAGATATTATATCGATCAATTCAGATAGTCTAACTTTGTTTATTTTTGTGATACTTAAGTATTCATATTCTACATGTAGTTTCTTTAGTTTCTTCCTTATTTTAGTTACTTTAATTTGAATATTTTCTGTAATTTTCTCATTGTTTATAGGTAGTTTTTGCGGATTTGTACTATTAATGTCAGTGTTGTTTTCCATTATTTCTTAAAGTAAAGAATTTATCTATGATAGCTCTGATACCAATTTGTGTGTGTGTGGGGGGGGGTCATCTTATTTTTATTAGGATCTTTAATACTGAGATGTATACCTGTTGATACATATATCAATGGTTTCTATATTTCTCAGAATTAATTCTTTTCTGTGTTGATAACTTTCAAGATTATCTTCATAGTTGGGTTGCCCCGGACCTTGCGGAAGTTTGATGCAGTGTGGGTCATTGTTGATAGGTTGACCAAGTCGGCACACTTTATTCCGATTGTGACTACTTATACTTCAGAGGGATTGGCTTAGATTTACATTGCGGAGATAGTCCAGTTACATGACGTGCCTATTTCCATCGTATCTGGTAGAGGCCCTCAGTTCACTTCCCATTTCTGGAGAGCTTTTTAGAGTGAGTTGGGGATCCGTGTGGAACGCAACACAACATTTCATCCACAGACCGACGGGCAGTCGGAGCGGACAGTTCAAGTTTTGGAAGACATGCTTAGAGCATATGTGATTGACGTTGGAGGGCAGTGGGATCAGTTCTTTCCCTTGGCAAAGTTTGCTTACAACAACAGCTATCAGTCCAGCATCTAGATGGCTCCATTTGAGGCTTTATATGGTCGGCGATGTCGTTCTCCTATCGTGTGGTTTGAGCCTGGTGAGGCTAAGTTGTACGGTACAAACTTGGTGAAAGATGCCTTGGAAAAGGTAAAGTTGACTCAGGAAAGGCTTCGCACAGCTCAGTCCAGACATAAGAGTTACGCGGATCAAAAGGCGCGAGATGTATCATTCAGGGTTAGCGAGAAGGTCCTATTGAAAGTCTCGCCGAAGAAGGGTATTATGAGATTCGGGGAGAAGGGTAAGTTGAGCCCATGGTTTATTGGCCCATTTGAGGTGTTGAGGCAAGTTGGGGAGGTTTCTTACGAGCTTGCTATACCCCCCAGCTTATCGGGAGTTCGTCCACTTTTCCATGTATCGATGCTGCGAAAGTACCATGCGACATGTAATGACCCGACTGGTTGTTTTGCTTTCTAGAACCCAGTCCCCCTAAATAAGACTTCCTGCACTTGCTTTAACTAATTTACGACCTGCGGGGATGGTTGGTTTGGGATTTGGAAGAGTTTGGGTTGAAATAGGCACACTTGATTCCCTAAGATTTGCTTAAAAGACTAAGTTTGTCTTTGGTCAATATTTTTAGTAAACGGACCCGGGCTTGTGTTTTGACAATCCCGAAGGGTACTTAGGAAAATATGGGACCTGGGCGTATGCCCGGAATCGAATTCCGAGGTCTCTAGCCTGAGTAATGAATTTTTGTTAGAAATTGTTAAACCGAAATTTTAAAGATTTAAAGAAATTGAATAATTCTTGATCATATTGGTATCGGGCCCGTATGTTGGTTTCGGAGCCCGGTACATGTCCAATATAACATTTAAGTCTTGTTTGTGAAATTTCGTGAGAAACAGGACTGATTTGATGTGATTCGGACGTCCGGTTGTAAAAATAGGAATTTGAATGTTGTTAAGGATTTCATGCGTTTTGGTGTTGAATCCGTAGTTTTAGATTTTATTTCGGCGATTTGATCGCTCGAACAAGTTTATACAATGTTGATGGACTTGTGTGAGTGTCCGGAGTGGATCCCCAAGTGCTCGGGTGAGTTTTGGGCATAGGTTAGGGGTAAAAATCACCCCAGATTTCTAGTATTTTTGGGCAAGATTGCATGTCTCGCAAATTTGAGGAAACTATTCGCATTTGCGAACTCGCAATTGCGATGAAGCCTGGCTGGGGCCAGTGGTTGCATTTGCGACACTGTCTTCGCATTTGCGAACCCAGCAGGGTCCGCAATTTCGACCCCTCTATCGCATTTGCGATCAAGGCAGAGGAAGGCCCAGTTCAAATTTGCGAACTTTTTGTCGCAATTGCGACTTCGCATTTGCGAGCCTGATGTCGCAAATGCGACATCAGAGGCCTAGTCACAACTTTTTAAAAACGGAACTTAGGCCATTTATTTTATTTCACGTCTACACTTGGGCGATTTGGGAGCTTTCAAAGAGGGGATTTCAAACTAGCATTGTGAGGTAAGTTATTTCTACTTAATGTGAGTTTAATACTTGGGTTTTGGGTAGATTAACACACTAAAATTAGTGAAAATCATGGAATTTGAGTGAAAACCAAGGGTTTTGATAAAGGCAAGATTTAACCATGAAATTTGTTATGGAATGGAGTAAAAATTATATATTCTTGATCTTTAGGCTGTGGGTAACAACGTTTTTCAAAAAAATTCAGAATCCGGGCACGTAGGACCGGGGTAGAATTTTAGGAATCTTGTAATTTGTGTTGGGGAATCACCCTAGTGATTGGGATATGAACTTTTAAGCCTATATTGATTAGTTTCTATGCTATTTGGATAGTTTTGGAGTGTGTGGCACCAAATTGAGGGTTTGGGCTTAAGCTTGGACCGGAAAGTAGGCCGTGAAGCGAGGTAAGTCTCCTTTCTAACCTTGTAAGAGGGAATTGTCCCCATAGGTGAAATAATTGAATAATTTACCACTAAATGCGGGGGCTACGTACGCACTAAGTGACGAGAGTCCGTATGTGGTTACTATTATGTAAATTTTCCGGGTAGTTTAGGACCCGTATCATGCCATTTGTGAATGTTTATATCCATTCATTCTAATGAGATCACTGAGGATATGCTAGAGATTTGGAAATTAACATATGTGAATGTATGTACTTGCTTGAACACTTGTATGAATTTATTTAAATATAAATGCGCCTTTATATACCTTCTTGACGATAATTGATATTTGTGGATCGGGCCGATCGCCTCGGTAGAAATAGATGCATCTATGGTTTGCGTCATTCGACCCTCTGGCAGTGCACAGTTTCTTTTCTGTTGGACCGGGCCGTACGATCTCGACATAATGTGCGCATGATATTTATGTGAAATCTTATTCATGACTTACCTTGTTAAATGCCTTGAAATGTAAATGTCTAATTGCTATATTATCCAGGAAATGACCTACCACTTCTTGCTATAAATTGTTACTTGTTTGTACTATCAATGCTTAGCATAACACTTATTTTATTAATTGACTCTAGTAAGTATCAAGTCGACTGCTCGTCTCTACTTCTTCGAGATTAGACAGGATACTTAGTGGGTACATATTATTTATGTACTCATAGTATGCTTCTGTACTTAATTGTACAGGATCTGAGGCAGGTACATCTGGCTACCAGTCTGGTGCGCATTCTTGATCGTAGTCCGAGATTTCACGGTGATTTGCTCCCTTCCTATGCCGTTCAGCAGCATGATGGTGTCTCTCTTTACTTTTGGCTGTCTATTCTATTCCAGACAGTAAGATAGATTTATTTTTTTGTATATTCTACTAGATGCCCATATACTTGTCACACCAGGTCTTGGCACACACATTGGTAGACTGTTCTTTTGGGATTGTATAATTATTTTTGTACGTTACTAATTATCACTTGTTTTAAATTCGAATTAAGAAATTGTTGTAACTGTTTTAGTAAAGTAAAAACTAGAACTTATTAATATTTCCCTGTTGGCTTGCCTAACAATGGTGTTGGGCACCATCATGACCTATAATGGAATTGGGTCGTTACAATAATAATAATAATAATAATAATAATAATAATAATAATAATAATAATAATAATAATAATAATAATAATAATAATATATGTTGATAGTTTTAGAAGAATGTTAAATTTATTAATTGAAAACTTTCGTCTAAAATAATATTCTTCACTATTATTATTCGTATTTTTTTCAAAACATGATTATCTTTCAATACAAAATATTTTTATATTTCATTTAAATTCAAAAACTTTATTTATAGATTAAAAAAATATATCATTTACTTCAAATTATTTTTATAACATATCCTAATAGATATTGTCTCAAAATTGTCAAGTGATTTCTTATTAATTTACCGCTTGACTTAACAACTCTCATATTTTATATTTATAGAAAGATATAGAATAGATTTAGATAATATATATTGACTTAAAATTGACAAGTGATTTTTTATTAGAGGCAATGAACATGAGAGGCAATGTCATCCTTCTTTAAATTTGTGCAATGTTGTCAAATTAAATTGACCTATAATAACATGTAACTCATAACAACTGTGAAATTGTGACTTGAAAACTAAAATAATAGCATGTTATAAATAATTAAATTGTCTTGTAAATTATATGCTATCTGATATAGAATAACTTAAATCCTCCTTTCAGTTATTAGTTGTATCGCACTTTGGTTATTAAATAGTTATAAATTATTTTGACCTCCTAGTTTAAAAAATGTTTACCTTGAGAAAAGACTATTCTCAGTATAGATTAGAAAAGAACACTGACATCTCACATTCCAGCTATATATATATATATATATATATATATATATATATATATAAAAATAACCCAACATTTTGTTTGTTTGTGGTCGAGCTTCTGCTGAATTCTNACATATATCCATTGCATCTTCTTCTATTAGTGCTCTTAGAAGATAACAAAGTCATATTAGCCATGGCTTTTATATGGGCAACTCTAATTGTTGGTCTATTTGTATATGCTTTCTATGTGCTGCTAAACATTCAGAAGAGAAAAAGGTTTCCTCTTAGGACATCTTCATTTGTTAGGTAAATATCGACACAAAGATTTACAAAAACTAGCCAACAACCGTGGTCCTATTATGTATATGCAACTGGGAATCGTACCTGCAATCGTTGCCTCGTCTGCTGATGCAGCCAAGAAAGTCCTCAAGACATATGATCCCATCTTTGCTAGTAGGCCTCATAATGAGGCATCTCAATGTATGTCTTATGGCCAGAAGAATATGATTTTTGCAAAGTATGGACCATATTGGCGTAACATGCGCAAATTGTGCACCTTTTGAGTAATCACAAGATTAATTCATTCCAATCCATGAGAAAGCAAGAAGTTGAACTTCTGATTGAATCGGTTAAAGAACAAGCTCATGATTGCGCGGTTGTTGATCTTAGTGCAAAGATTACATCCTTGAATGCTAGCTTGACTTGCTTAATGGTGTTTGGAAAGAAGTATATGGATGAGGACTTTGACAAGAGGGGATTCAAAGCTGTAGTTCAACAAGTTGTGCATTTTGGTGGGAGACCAAATCTTGGAGATTTTTTCCCCTTTCTTGGTGTTATTGATCTTCAGGGACTCAATCGCAAGCTCAAAGATATTCAAAGGTGTTTGATGAAATTCTTGAGAAGATTATTGATGAACATGTTACCAAGGATTTTGTCGACACCATGATGGAGATTATGCAATCAGGAAAAGCAGAGTTTCAGTTTGACCGTCGACATATAAAAGCTATCCTCGTGGTATATACTGCCATCCCATTTTACATTCTAATATAAGCTCAAGAAACCATAAATTTTTAGATTAAATTTGCTAGTTTCACTAAATAATTTCTCGGCTTCCTTTTCCATACAGGACATGCTTATTGCAGCAACAGACACTTCAACAACATCAGTAGAATGGATACTCACTGAGCTAATTAGGCACCCTCATGTGATGAAGAAACTCCAAAAAGAGTTGGAAGAAGTGGTAGGAATTGAAAGGATGGTAGAAGAATCAGATTTGGAGAATTTGAAGTACTTACATATGGTTGTAAAAGAGGGCCTGAGGCTGCATTCCGTAGAGCCAGTATTGCATCATGAAGCCATGGAAGATTGTGTAGTAGATGGCTTCCACATACAAAAGGGATCTAGAATCATGATTAATTGTTATGCAGTTCAGAGGGATCCAAATGTTTGGTGTGAGCCTGAGAAGTTTTTCCCCGAGAGATTTGTTGGGAGCTGTGTAGATATTCGTGGACGTAATTTTTAGCTTTTACCATTTGGCTCTGGTAAAAGAAGCTGCCCCGGAATGCAGTTGGGGATTACCATTGTTCGCCTTGTGGTTGCACAATTGGTGCATTGCTTTGATTGGGAGCTTCCAAATGGTATGCAGCCTCTTGATTTAGACATCGATGAGCAGTTTGGGATGATAGCATGCAAAGAAAAGCCATTGATGGCTCTTCCTACTTATAGACTAAAGAAATGAGGCAAACACGTTGCAGATTGGAAGAGAACTAGTTTTCTAAACTTTTTATTTTACTTAGCTGCTGTTAATATTACACAAGCGATATTTAAAGTTTCTATTCCATGGTTCTGTGATTGTTGTGCTTTTCCCCTGCTATTCTATAAATAACATATTGACAGTATATCGATGCCTAATTAGATTGGAATATGCCAATAGTCTCATTATGTACACAATTGACCTTTTCTTTTCTTGTTTCTCTTTTTACTATGTGTTTGTGGCATCCAATCCTACTCTCGCCATGAAAGTAGTACGGTCACATTATAATAAACACAACAAAGACTGGGGTTAAATCTAACAAGAAGTATGGTGTGCACTAAGGTGTCCAAATGCATGCAAACTTGGTATTTCCTTTTGTATTCGCCAAACAAAAGAGTTCATTGCAATTAATTCTAAAATAATAGCTAAAACTACTAAATTACTTACTAAGGAATTGAAGCGAATACGTAGCATCCAACTAAAATATAATTTGTTTTCTATGAAGAGAAAGACCATCGTTGCAACCTCAATATAGCATAATTAGTTCTAGGATGTACGTAGCTTGCCTAAATACTTTGGATGGGTTAATTTCACTGATAGTCATTCAACTATGTTTCAATTTCACTAAAGTCACTCAATTATTTTTTGCCACTTAAAAGTAAATAAACTTTAACATAGTCACTTAAAAGTCATTTTGGCTTAAAACCTTACCATTAATTTGCATGGCATAAAATTTAATGAGAAAAATAAAAAAAATAAATGCCACATAAGCTTAAATGGACCATACCTACTTTAGATCCATTTCTCCCTTAATCTGATTTTGTCAAGACCCCAGTTTGCCCTCCGTGAACTATCGTAACGGCGCCTAGTCTCTACGATTAGGTAAGCCTAACAATTGTGGAAAAACGGGAAAACAACAGATAGAACAAATAAAAACTACGAAATAAACATAATGAAGGTTTGAAGATGCCGCTCGGCATTTAAAATATAACTCTCAAACTGAACAATTTTCCAAAACCGGAATCTCATGAAGTCACAAGATATGAATGCTACATTGTGCTGTAACTCCAGAATGTCTAAATAGAGATTAATACAGAAGGGCTAAAACTATAAGAGAGAATGGAAAGGGACTCCTCGGTTCGCGGACGCGACAGATGTACCTCGAAGTCTCTGGAGAATCACTTCGCCTCAAGGGGTAGTAGGGTTGAGTCGAAGTACCTGGATCTGCACATAAAACACATGCGCAGAAAGGGCATGAGTACACCAAAGCGGTACTCAGTAAGTGCCAAGCCTAACCTCGGTCGAGTAGTGACGAGGAAGGTCAGGGCCCTACTGATCATAGCTGAAAAACGAGGTAAGATAGTATAGAATACTACGATATGATTAAAAGCTAACAGTATGAAGTAACACCGGATAATAAGAATAACAACTATAACAGAGATAAAATAATCACAGAAGGAATGCAACTAAACAAAGAGATAACAACCAAAGATCTCTCAGTATCCCGAGGATCTCTTAGTATTCTCAATATATGTGATGGGGATCTCTTGGTATATCGAGGATCTCTTAGTATCCTCATTATACATGCTGGGGATCTTTCAGTATCCCGAGGATCTCTTAGTATCCTCACTATACGTGCTGGGGATCTCTCGGTATTCCGAGAATCTCTTAGTATCCTCACTATACATGTTGGGGATCTCTCGGTATTCCGAGAATCTCTTAGTATCCTCACTATACATGTTGGGGATCTCTCGGTATCCCGAGGAACTCTTAGCATCCTCAATATACATGCTGGGATCTCTCGGTATCCTACACTACAGTGCAAATAAGTGTATATGTGCAGGGGATCTCCCGGAATACAAATCCGTAGTCCCAAAGTAAACAGGAAAAGGGATCTCCCGGGATACCGTCCCGTAGTCCCAAAGTAAACACACAACAGCAACACGAAGAATACTCAATTTAATTCAATTCGTACCAAGGCAAAACAAATATTTCTAACATAACATGCTACACATAATCCAAATAAGGCAGTTTGAGCAAGTAAAGCAATTAAGTCAATTAGACATGCTCCCCTAAGCTAACAGTAGGCTTCAATTGCAAGTAGTATAAATGGAAAAAGAAACACAATTATAGTTACTTAATAAAAATAGAATTTTCAATAATTAGCATAAGTACACACTCATCACCTTATATACAAGGCATTTCAAATATCAACAATACCAAATCCTAAGGGGAGTTCGCCCATGCAAGGTTAGGCAAGCCACTTACCTCGAACCAGCTCAAAATCAACCTGAAACCACGTTCTTGCCACAAGTAATCGACTCAAAATGGTACAAATATATTCAATTAAATTGCATAATATAAATATAACTTCAAGTAACAGATTCCACAAATAAATTCTAAGATAATACGCGAAATTATGTAAAATGACCAAAATGACCCCGGGGACCACATCTTGGAATATAGTAAATTTACGGATTATGAACCCTCATTCAAATTTGTTCCAACCATCGGAACGTTCAAAAAAACATCAAAACACCAATTTAACATCGGATTCAAGCCTAAGAACTCCAAAAACTCTCAAATTATGCTTTCGATCAAAAAGTCTATCAAACCTCGTCCGAATGACCTGAAATTTTGCAAGCATGTCACATTCTACACTACAGAGCTACTTCAACTTTCGGAACCTCATTCCGACCCCGATATCAAAATCTCACTATCGAACCGAAAACTTCAAAAATTCAACTTTCGACATTTCAAGCCTAAATAAGTTACAGACCTCCAAAACACAATTAGAGCACGCCCCTAAGCTCAAAATCACCCAACGGAACTAACGGAACCGAAGGAATTCCATTCCGAGGCCGTCTTGACACTACTCCGACTATGGTCCAAATTCTAAAGCTTAAGCTCTCTTTTAGGGTCTAAGTGTCCCAAAACACTCCGAAACTCAAAATCAAACATCCCGGCAAATCAAAATAGCACAAACAAATACGAGAAAAGCAGTTAATAGGGGATCAGAGTATTAGTTCTTAAAACAACCGGTCAGGTCGTTACAAATTTGAAACACACACCCCTAATAAAATTAGGTCTTGTGATTTTTTTGTGAGGTTTTTATCGTACAAATACAATATTTCTTTTAGCTAAACAATTACAATAGGTTGTCTCTAATTGCATGTTCATCGTGAAAATAGACTCTTATTATCCTTATTATTATTCTTGTATACTTATGATACATTAACATGTTATGTAAGATGAATACAATAGTATTTTAATTTCATTCGAAAATTATAAATATGTTATGTGAGTTGGATACAGTTGTATTTTAACTTCAGTAGAGTTATAAAACAACTTGGATGGGGCATACAAACAAGATAAGAATTTTTTTAGTATAGATAATTATAAATAGGCATTATGTAACAGAAAAGGCAAGAATTTTGTAGTATAGGATAATCATTTTAAACTAATGTGAAATTTAATATTTTTTTTATTGAAACCCATCTGGGTTATGGGTCAAATCACATTAAGGTAGAAATGGATCTAAAGTGGGTATTGTCCATTTATGCTTATATGGCATTTATTTTTGGATTTTTCTCATTAAATTTTATGTCATGTCATATTTATGGGTAAGGGTTTGAGCCAAAATGACTTTTAAGTGACAATGTGAAAGCTTAGTTACTTTTAAGTGACAAAAAATAGTTGAGTGACTCTAGTGAAATTGAAACATAGTTGAGTGACCATCAGTGAAATTAACCTTACTTTGGATTAGTGATTGTGATCCAATTGTTAGCTATCCACTCGAATTTTTCAATTCAAGTTTATCCCTAAAAATGTCATGACCAAAAATCAATAGTCGTGATGGCGCCCATCGTGGAACTAGGTCAGCCTCAAATCAACAACCCAACACCAACAATAATAAGTTCAAACACATTAAACGAAGCATTTAACATTTAAAGGAAACTGTTGGAAACATAAAAAAACCCAATATACGATGCAATCTACCCAAAACCGGGGTGTCACTGAGTACATGAGGGTCTAGATCAGAATAAATCCAACTACACTATCTATAGTAATAAACTGAAAATACGACAAAAGATAGAGAAAGAGAGTCAAGGCCTACGAACACAATGCAACTACCTTGATAGTCTCCAAACTTTGGGATCCTCAATCATCAACCATCGCCGTGAATGGAGTCGCCTGGATCTGCACATGAGGTGCAGGGAGTAACGTGAGTACACCAACTTTGTAAGTAACAAGTCCAAACTTTGGAATGAAAGGTAGTCACGAACTCAACCGCAACAGATATAACAAAAATAAGTGTGCAGAAATGTAGGCATGCTTCCAAGTTAAATAGACAGCTCAAGGTAATAAAATAAATACAAATATGACCATTGTAAGGTATACAACTCAGCTATATCTACATGCCAATGCACATACTATATGAAATGCACCGTGTGCTCCCACTCTCAAGTGCTCAACCACTCGGTACTATATATGGCCATCCGACATGGGGAAATCCATCCCGGAATATATACAACACTAATTGTAAGTCACCCAGTACCGAGGAAAAAGGGCAATCCAACCCTATGAAGAAATCCATCTCCAACTATCAAGTACTTCGGACAAACTTATGTCCAGGAAAAATCCATCCCACAATAATATCATCCGCACTCACTGGGGGTGTGTTACAGACTCCGGAGGGGCTACTACAGCTTAAGAGCTATCATAATCATAAATATAACCGCTGCGACATGCAACCGGATCCCATAACTATCACTCATAATCAGGCTCCCGGCCTCACTTAGTCATCAATCTCTCTAGTCTCACCCTGGGCTTACAATGTCATGAAAAAAACTTGGAACAATGATATGATGAATCAATAAATAACTGAGACTGAGATATGATATAAAAATGCATGAACATGACTGAGTACGGAATATAAATGAAAATAGTGAATGACAGCAAGAAACGACCACTAAGGTTCCTAACAATACCGGCATAAAGCCTAAACATGATATCTAGCATGATTTACAGCTCAATTACATTATCACATGATGAAAACATGAATATCAACATGATAGAGTCACTACACGGTGCCATGGAATCACCCAGGTCATAAT